GTTGCCTCACACTCTTTGAAGTATACCCCCAGTTTTTTTTTTATTAAATGGTAGGGAGCTCTCATATGATCCTTCAGGTCTTCTACAATGTTAACTAGGATGCGATAAACCAGACCTTTAAGATGCCCCCATAAGAAAAAGTCTAAACTATTTAAATCTGGAGGTAGGCCCGCCGCGACCTACCCGTTGGTTGTTAAATGTGTAATTTATATATTCTTTTACTGCAACAGTAATGTCAGTAATGGTAGCTGCGTCGTCTTGCATGACTCACATTCTGTTTCTAATTAAATATGGGACTTCTTCTAGCAATATTGGCAAGTCTTCTTCTAAAAACCGACGATAATTATGGTTATTTAGCCTCTCTGGCAGGAAAAAGGGTCCAATTAAGTAATTTCCAACATTTGCAGCTCAAATATTTAACGAAAAATGTTCTTGTTGTTTAAATTCTGCAACTGCATGGGGGTTTTCATCGGCCTAAATATGGTTATTGTGGAAATTTCTGATTGCATTTCTATTAAAGTTAGCTTCATCTGTAAATAGTAGTTCTTGGTCAAACAAATGATGATGCGCAATGTTGTCCCAAAAAACATTGACAAAAATTAATACGCAAGGGAAAATCTTTGGGAAGTGACGCTTGGACTAGTTGAGTATGGGTACAATAGAAAATCGTGCACAATTTTCCAAACCAGGACTTGCGAAATAATCGGATTATTTCCAACTTTTCAACTGAGTTCAGGATTGCATCAATAGTATTTAACACTGCTTTTTCAATTTCATTAGTTCTTACAATACGATTAATGATACGATTAAATGATTATTTGTCCTCACAGCAAGTGTTTCACGCAACCTTCTATATATGATATACATTTGAATATGTTCGCGTATCTGGTATGACTCTTTTGGGGAAGCGCTCTTGAAATACTGCCCTAGCTTCGGTGCACTGCCATCACCCAAACCATACATAAAATGCATATCTGCCAACTCGCGCTAAACGCTTTTGGAAAATCACGTCCACTTGAGAACCTTCATCGATAGCCTCACATTGGTGGATCTTCCATGTTGTTGGGAGACTATTTGGTTTTTAGCAACATCAAATATTTTGTCCTGTTGGAGAGATTCTAAAACTTTACAGAAATTGCAGTTAAGGGAAGTAGCCCCATAGTTTTTGATTTGCGATCTGCGGAAATAATTTTAGACATTTTCCATATACCAGGAACGGCTTGGTTCCTTAGACACGGGTTAAACAGTTTTACAAGCCGTTTAGCCAGAAGAAAACGACAGTAATGTATAAGGAATGCTGAACTTAAATCTGGACCCATTTAAATTACTTTAAGAGATTTTTCGACGTCATATTCCGAGAACATCTTTATGTTTATATTTTCGCAATGGCGTAAATTACTAATGCCATTGAAATTGTTGAGAGAACTTCTGTTAGAAAGTGACTTTCGAAAACAGAGTTGAGTATATCTGCCGAGTATATAACTCAGTGCCATTAAGGTTCATATAACTGGGTACACCTGATATTTCTCTTTTGTTTTTAATAAACGGCCAAAATTGTTTGGGATATTTTTTCGTATAATTTCGTATTCAATTTTTCAGTGGATGGCTTTTATAAGAGTTCCTAATTTCAGACTTTATTTTCGACGAAAGGCATTTAAAATTTTACAATTCTTTCATTTTCGTTTCGTGAGCTAATGCAAGTGTATTTTTGCCATGTTCATTTCTTAAAATTTTCTTTCACTGTCTATCAAATATCACATTAAAATCTCCGATATGTGATCTAAGTGCTTAATGCCAGAGTTTCCAAATCCCTTTGAGGTAAATATGTCACATTTTGTTAATATCAATGCTACGTAGAATAAGTTTTGGGTAGACCATTATCTTACCACATTTCTGTGATGAAAGAATTCAATATAAGGAGGCTAAACTAAGCATCCTGCGCTGTAATCACTGACAGGAAAATCCAAATTGCAGAGGCTTATCGCAAATTCGGAAAAACATCAGCACATGGTTTCCAAACAAAGAATACAACAGGATAATTATGAAGACTAGTTTGATAGTTACTTCAAAATTTACAGTCATTAAAACGGAAGGAGAATTTATCAAGGAGTGTATATTAGATGTTTGCAGTGTTTGTCAAGACGAACTGTTGTCCGACGTATAAAAATTATGGCTAATGATATAAAAACAACATTGACTGACCGTATAGTTAGTTTTGAATCATTTTTCATAGCATTAGACGAGAGCACCGATTTGTCTGAAACAAGTCAATTGGTGTGTTCGAGGTATTGATATAGTGTTCACCGTTTCTAAAGAATTTCTTGCTTTACAGCCGGTGAAAGGAACAACTACAGGAGCGGACATTTTTAATGCAGTTCAAAAGTTTTGGCTTGCTAATAGTCAAAATTCTATAGTCGGTTTACATAAAGATTCCATCGGAATTTTGAATGAAAATGCAACTGAATTAAATGTGCAAAAAGATGATTTGATGGTCCTTCATTGTATTATTCACTTATGCGGAAGAACTCAAGTTACTGTCGAAACAACTTTCGAAGAAATTTTGCGATTGCAAAAACATGAAGGACTGTTTCAATTTTCTTGCTACTCCCACAAAAAAGTCATGTACAAAATGCTCCAATACACTTGTAACCGGAGTTGATTCAGATTCAAGAAAATTTACCCCTAAAATATAAATTTGATGACGCGGTGCTGTGTGTTAGATTCACTTGTGCGTTTCTCAGTACTTATAAATGCGAACAGTTATTTTAAAAACATCGACGGTTTGATTTGCCAAATTCAAGCGCAATTATCGCATTGACTTTGATGAGGCTATTAACTATCGCAATTTGTAATAATTCCAAATTTCACAATTTAATTATAATGTTGTACCTTTTTTTTTTAATTTCATTTTGTTATTTTAATGAATTGTATTTTAATAACAACAACATATTATTTCATGTCTGATATTTGTCGTTAAAACTTAAAAATACTACTCTAAAACGCTACATGTGGTCTGGCTAAGGCTGAGACTCTGGAGAACGATATTATTATTTTGTGTATTTCGCATGTTAAGTCTATGACTGTTTTGTTTTCTGAAAAGATGTTAACAAAAACCTAACAGCTTCACTATCTGATAACAATAATAATAATAATAATAATAATAATAATAATAATAATAATAATAATAATAATAATAATAATAATAATAATAATAATAAAGAGTCTTAATTTCTTAATATTTCAATGAAAAGATTACATTTAAGAAAATAACAAAGGGCGGTATCCAGCGAAGTTGCTCTAATATAGGGTGTTTTTTTTCGATGTATAGAACTTTAAGTTGCAATAAAACAACGATGGATTATTCGAATGAGAATTTTATTTATCTGAAAGATAAGCTTGTAGCATTACATTTTTAATATGATTTTTGGCATATGACCGCCAGGGCTGGCGCGAATGTAGTCCAATCTGGACGTCCAATTTTCGATGACTTTTTCCAAAATTTGTGACAGTATATCGGCAATAACACGGCGAATGTTGTCTTCCAAATGGTCAAGCGTTTGTGGCTTATCCGCATAGACCAATGACTTTACATAGCTCCACAGAAAGTAGTCTAGCGGTTTTAAATCACAAGATCTTGGGGGCCAATTCACCGGTTCAAAACGTGAAATTAGGCGGTCACCAAACGTGTCTTTCAATAAATCGATTGTGGCACGAGCTGTGTGACATGTTGCGCCGTCTTGTTGAAACCACATCTGAACATCATGGTTATTCAATTCAGGAATGAAAGAGATAGTAATCACAGCTCTATACCGATCACCATTGACTGTAACGTTCTGGCCCTCATCGTTTTTGAATAAATACGGACCAATGATTCCACCAGCCCATAAAGCGCACCAAACAGTCAGTTTTTCTGGATGTAATGGTGTTACACTTGAGGATTAGCTTCGCTCCAAATGCGACAGTTTTGTTTGTTGACGTAGCCATTCAACCAGAAGTGCGCTTCATCGCTAAAAAAAAATCGCTTATGAAAATCGGGAACAAAGGCAATCTCGTTTTGGGCCCATTCGACAAATCTATGCCTTACTTGATGGTCGTTTGGCTTCAATTCTTGCACGAGTTGGATTTTGTAAGCACGTAAGCCAAGATCCTTAAGCAAAATCTTCCATAAAGTGGATGGACACAGATCCAATTCCTGTGCTCGATGGCGGATGGACTCATTCGGTTCTTCCTCAATGCTGCGCTCTACAGCAGCAATAGCTTCTTCTGTACGCACCGTACGGCGTCTCTGGGGATGCGAATTATCAATAAGAGCAAACGTGGTGCGAAAACGTTCCATGGTTAATCGAATTAACTGCTCTGATGGACGATTTTGTCGACGATAAAATGGACGTAGTGCGTGATACGTATTCCGCATAGAACCATTATTTTCGAAATAAAATTGCACTATTGCAAGCGTTGTTCAGGCGTGAGTCTATTCATAATGAATTGCCAAACCAAACTGAGAATAAATCACTTGACAGCTGTTAAATCGGTCGCCATCTTGAACAGTAATGCCAACTTAAAGTTCTATATATAAAAAAAAACACCCATTACAACCCCTGATTTATCGTTAGTAAGTCGCAGTCTTTGAATACACGCTCTTGAGGATTTGAATAATATTGCTTTTATTAACTATTTCTGACACTTCTAGTTTTTTAAGTTATCACTATTCCATAATTCATTGTTGATTCGGCTGATGTTTGGTATGCAGGTTTATTGTTGAAGAAGTTACAATGTTCCTAAGTTAATAAAATGTGTAGATTAATTTCCGGATTTTATTTGTAACATATTTTACTTGTTCTCTCCAGAAAAAATGTTTATCAATATAGTTTCGCTAAGTTCTTTATGCCTTTATTTAGTAAGGCGTAATCAAGCACGCCCTTTAAAACCCCAAATCATTCGCACGTTGATTGTTATTTAAGTTTTGCGATTTTGTTTTTATTTTTCTAATTTAATTCCAGAGCGGAAGCGATGAGGAATATCCAAAGGAAACTACGCCGTGGGGACTTCGAAGGTGCTGTGGTGCTGTTGCGTGCCGCCAGGTAAGTGAGCGAATTTTTCTTGAAGATAATAAACAATTTTGATTTGTTGCGCTTTTTCCGTTCCTCCCCCTGTTTTTAAGCGCCGGCTGTCAAGGGGTTGGCGAGGACTAAAGCCAAGGGGTTGATGTTATTTATTACTGTGCCGAATTCTTGCCGAAAAGCGGTCGGAATTTTTGGTGCGGAGGGCGGCTCTTGTTGACCTTGTTACGTGCACAATTTTTCCTGTTGTAAATTTCCATTCTGACTAGGGGAATGGGGGTGGATGTTTCGCTATGCCCTGAAGGTAATTTCTAAGGCAGACGGAACTTTCTGTCAAATGTGAACAGCTGATCTAATTAAAAGAAAATTATTATTTGCATTCAGCCTTGTAGTTGTAGAAATGTATAGCAATATGGAACGTTTTTTTCTAATTTCTAATTTGAAAAAAAGGCAAATTATTAAATGTCACTATTAAAACCCTTGGCAGGCATTACCATTATTGCATGCGGAGAGCTGAGTTATGCAAGAGTTATAGAAAGTAAACGGAACACCTAATCAATGATATAACCTCATAGAGAACGACTTACTGCTTTTCATGGAGTTGAAAAATTTTTTGCTATGAATTCTCAACTTCGAGAAGAGAAAAAAGGCACGAGGACTCAAGTCAGGCCAATAATTGGGGCCGAGGAGCACATTATTATTTTTTCTTGCCAAAAACTAGTTTATTGCGCGATAACACTTGATGTTTGCTCTCACCGGAATGACCCATTTTTGGAGTTTTTGAAAAACCTCTTCGTAAAGGTGTCGATTGACCGTTGGACCTTGAAGTAGAAATTCTTTATGATTTCGTGGATATGAAAAGGGAAATCAGCATGTTCGACTTTCTCATCATTCTATTTTTTGCTTTAGAGACGTTGAAGTGTGCCACCCCATGTTCTGGCCTTAGTCTCTGGGTCACACAAACACCCGAGACGCCAGTAATAACAAGTTTCGAAGAATAGAGGTAAATTTCAATCGAATCCAAAATGTCATGGCAACTTTCACTGATTTTGGTTTAGCGAAAGGTTTTTTGGAATAATTTTTGAGCTGATTTTCATCATCCCCAATTCTCATGAGCGGTGGTGTGAGTCAAGTTCAACTCAACTGTCAACCGATCTGAAAGTACATGGTCCTGGATTCTCTCGATATATTAGATTCACATTTCACCCACTAATATACAGTTTGCATCATTTTCTTTCTGAAAAACAATTTCCACACACAACTCATTTTCCGGGAATATTTAACGAGATCTAGGCATAGTTTTAGAAAATGCTGCCGCATCCAAGCCTATTGATGTTTTGTCAGAGGCCAATGAGGCTTTAAAATCTCGCGCATGCGCATGTTCAATTCACCTCTTCAAAATTTCTTTTATAGTTGCTTCATATTATCGACATTGCCAGGGCCTTTATATCTCTAGTAGCTATATGATTTTATTAGATGAAGGTCTTCGGCTTTGTGGTTGATCTTCAATAGGCTTTCTATTATCTGAAAATGCATTAAACGACCGAAAAGACTTTTAACAAAATAAAAATTCTAATAATGATAGCGCACCGTTGTGCCACATTGATGTCACTCATTTTCAGAACACAATAGAAAAAAACTGGTTCACCATAAAATTGTTAACGATAATCAAAAAACCCTTCAAATTAGCAATATCACTGTAGGCAGGGTGTTTCGATATTGAGGAGATTTTGTCATCCAAACAATAGGAAAAAGTTCATATAAACGTAAATGCTTAGTTTCCATGATACAAATATGGAGTTCAATATTAAAGAAAACAAAACGGTTGTGCGAAAAACCTACGTCATAGGTTCCATACCTGCAATTAAGCTTTAATTAACCTGCAATAAAAAACCAAAGAAAAACGAGACAAGATAGGAAAATAAACCAAAAAGTCAAAAAGTTTTTTTGTGGCTTCCTTAAAGTAAATAAAAAAGGGCAATGTCTTATATTATTCGGGATGGTTCAATTAATCTAGTTGAAACAAAAATAATCTTTTATCATTAGAAATGAAATTGCCAAATTCCAACAAAATCTTTTTTTTGTAAATATTTAACACCCCATATCTTAAAACTTAAGTATTCCTGGACCCACGTTTGCATGATTTGTTTTTAGTTTTTTTTATAACGAATTTGCAGCTGAGTATTGTATGTGTATATGTAGCTGAAATTTAATAGTTTCAATAAGCACAAGATAAAAGAAAAAGTTTCGAATTAAAAAATAAATATGGCAAAATGATATTAACATATAGCTTCCGACTTTATATCAATCACAATTTCACAATCACCTAGATAATGGAAGAATAAAAAGACAACTGTTGATCTTGATAGATCCTTTCAGTAGATGCGGATTGCTAGTGATGCTTAAAAACAAACCTGACTTGTGTTAGCGACTGCATGCTACATGCAAACTTACCAAAAATGTGGGCATTGTTAGTTAAGAAAAAGATTTAATATTATCAATTGTATAAATTCAGTAGAGTTTTATTCCAATTGTAAAATACCAAAATATTAGCAATTTGCCAACACTGCTGCAATCAAAAGACAATTAAATCGAAACACGGACGCCATATTATTCTTCCATAAGGTTGGAATCTTTACGTTTGCCATGAAAACTTCGCTGTTTATTTGGCCGCAATTTCATTTTCCGCTGTCCGACCGAAACACAAAGGAGGCGGGAATTATGGCGTACTTATAAAGAAATTAACTTCCAAACGGCTTAAACGTCGCCCGTAACAGGAATGACAAGTTTTATTGTTCTCCGAAGTTTCTTTTACTTCGTGCAATTCTTGTCGCCGCACAAAATACGATACGATAGCGTTTTAGCGCAATTTGCCAAAGTGGATCGTGGGCGTTTTTAACTAAAAGAGATATCGACGTTATTACTAACATTCAAAAATATGTTTCTTTGTATGATATAGTTTACGTGGAACAGGGTGAAATACTACATTCACAGCATGCAATTGTCGATTTATTAAAGGCCTTTCCTGCTTTAGGATGACACAATTATGAATACATACATCAGATCATTTCGTTGATGTTTTATAACCAAATGAGATGAACGACTCGATCTTGCAGTCGTTGAAAAGAGCTTTTCCTATTAATCGATCGCCAGCAGGTAGCGTTTTATGACATAATCGCATAAAAAAAAATTCCAAAAAAAAAATAGATGCCAAGTTATGACTTTTTAGTCAATAGATAGTGAAATAAAATTTCAACAACCCTGTTAAACCCGCGTCTCAATCTCTCTAGCACCTCATCTATCCTAGCTTAAAATACGAATAAACGAATTTCCACAGTATAATACAATACTATTTACAAAACTTCTGGATTCCTTCTACGAACTTGCTGACGTTTCTCCAATCGTCCTTTTGTTCAGAACAGAGGAGCGGAGCTAAAGGAGGGGACGCACCCCCTCAAGCAATATATATGCTGGTACAGAGGAGAATTCGAGTCAGTTTCAGTTAAGCTCTAAAGAAGCCGACAGAAAACAAACAACCAAAGTAGGAGGGACCCAGAAGATTTGTTAATAGTCCAGATAAAAGAACTTAACAATAAAAAAAAAGGGAAACATCTCCACTTTGGGGGTTATTATTAATGCCCGATTATTCCGAATGATATTTTAGATTAAAATAATCTCTATTATTTATGTTTATTACTTTTCTTATAATTTTCTTCGAAAGGGACCCCTTAGCTGACATTACTACGTTTTGATGTCCTTATCCAATTTCAAATATTTAGCAGTATCACTTATTTTTAGTACTGACGCAGTTAGGTAATAAAATGTGGAAAACCATTTAAAAAATGAATGAAACAATTAAAAAAGGAAAAAAAAACAAATTTTGTTTTCATTTCTGTCTGAACGCTACGCATCTTTCGTCTCGTTATTTCATGCTTGTCAAACTCTTTTGATTACCTACCGTTTATTAAATAATCTATTTTTTTTACTGTTTACGGTGTTAAAATTGTGTGTTGTATGCTTTCGTCGTAATCCAGTGCCTGGAAGAAATCGAATAATCGAACTTAAACAGTTCAATAATTAATAAAATTAGTTGGTCTTCAGCAATTGATTAGTTTTCGTTTGTCGCTTATACCCAATTTTTAATAAATAAATAAATAAAATTATACTGAAAAATAGTAATATCAAAACACAGTAATGTCAGCTACTGAGTAATTTTTTGCGCCTTTGACGTTATTGTAAGTTATTGTAAGTAATAGGTATAGATAAATAACAAATTTTATTTTCATTTTTCAATATTTTATAGTAAAGTGAATTCGGGGTAATACAACCCGTGAAGTGGAGGTGTTTCACAAAATTCTACTTTATATTTAATATTTAGTTGAGTGCGTAGAGTATCGTTGAATTTTTTTCTAATTAATGTTAATGTCAGAACAAGCTATCCTGTAGGAACGGAAGCAATCGAAATCGCTATTAATAGTCTAGGAAAATTCATGTTTAAGGACTCCAGTTTTGTTAAAATGCCGTTAAACATTTTTGGAGTTATCGACACTTATTCTGAGAGCGCTCCACTTCTTTCCTTATACAGATACAGCAGACAATATTAAACAGAAAACAATTTGGAAGACAATTACTTCCTTTCCATTATTCGGATACTCTCTATACTTTGACCCCTTCATCGTTGGTGTCACCTCGATTGTCAGTTATTCTCGTTAGCTCCGTATATCCGACTGTAGTGCATATTTGCCTCGCACTTAATTAATTCCCACAGAAGCATAATATGCCATAAAAACGCTCCTAATTATATAAAGCGAGTTCGGTTCGCGTGGGGGTACATGCCATATCTATCCGAATCAAAACCTCCCGTTACCAAACGAAACTTAATTAACCTGTTCAAACACAAGGTAAGGGCCTTAAACTTAAACTTAAAGCCGCCAAGATATCTAATTACGACGATATCGCAACCTTGTGGTTGCCTTTAAGTTTCGGGTTACATTCATCCCCAGTCTATATGTTTAACTTTGTTTTCGAATTACCGTCGGTATTTCGCAATTCCCTCTGTATCTAGAATTTATCGAATCCCGTGTCTCACTTTTGTTTATAGTTCATCTCAAGTAAACTTTAAATCACATCAAGCTCGGTCGGTACATCATTACCGTGACATATTTATTATATTGAATTGAATATATGGACAATATTTTCATTTACCATTTTGAGGCCACTGACATTACTGGAATCAAATTAACATCCGTCAAAAATTAAGTATCTCCTGCCTGTCCATATTTCAGAAGTGATAGTTTCTAGTACCACTTGCCAGATTCTTGAACCAGCTTCTTCCAATATATCGGTTATTATAGTTTTTTGTAATTAACCAAATAAGTTCAATCGGGTTAGAAGTAAAGTAAGGAGGTAATTGTAAAACTTTTCTGTTCTTCCAACTCATCTACACTTATTTTTTGGTTTGTTTTAGTTGAATATAAATTGCATCAAACTCTGATATTGTAGCCACTTACCGTGCTGCAACGGTTAGAAGTTCAAATTTCAATTCTATTCAAGTTCTATTCAAGTTCTATTCTGAATTTACGCCACGGACTATTAAGGTGTCGTCGTTAATATAATTTCTAAACTGGAACGCTTTTCATTAAGGTTTGTATTATGTATCTATAAAAAACTTTTAAATCCAATTTTTATACAACTTGTTCTGGAGTTCCACCGGGGTCGACGTTGAGACCTTAGTTATTTTTACTATTTAAATTTGGCATTCAATTAACAGATAGGCAGAGGAACAGGCAACGCTTGGATTGGGGAATGGGAAGCAGTTAGGAACCAGTAATTAGTTAGAAAAGAGATTGAAATCTTAGGAGACCGCGTCAATGGAAATTCGAATTGTGGACACACCTCCGAAATTTAATTTTGTTTTTATGTTTATATCGATTAAACATATTCAACCTGATCTAATCAGATATGGTGAAATATGAGTTCTACGTGTAATTCCATATACTGGTCTGAGAACGGAGTTGTAAAGTTTTTGAATACGCTCTATGATTAAGGCGTGATAATACTAGAATATCGCAAAGAAGCCTATTAGTATCTTGCGAGAGACAGTGACGACTTCAACTTTCTTTTAGCCCGGAATCTAGAGTTAGCCCTAAACATTTGCAACTGCTACACAAAGGCAAAACTAAGTTTTTTTTTTACAATCATCAATCAATTTCATTATCATTGCCGAATATCGTATTAGGATTAACTACGAGCATATATTCAGTGACACACCGTACAATCTATTCAAGTACGGATTATTACTGTTGCTTGCTTCATTAAGGCATTTCTTAGAAATAGAAAAGCACAGTTTAGGGTCATCTGCATAAGATGATCACTATTGTAATGACGTTTGTAGACCTGGAGTAAAAATCGTAAACAGAAGAACTTAAAATACTACCGAGGGGTGCTCCCTTGTTAACAGTCAAAGACGCGATTCGTTAATAATTATTTTTGTGTTTGTGTGTTTTGCCTTCGCTGGTTGTTGGCTTGCGACGAGCGGTTAACAGTGCCATTTTGAAAAATCCCATGCAAGAAAACAACCGGGATAAAATCGACTGTTTGTGTTATATACAAAAATGATTTTTTTTTTAATTTGAACCCTATTTCTGTTTTCAATGACAATCGACCGTCAATAAATAATTGTTCAAAAGCCTTATTTTATGTTCAGTTCACTGGACTTCTTACGTTTTTTATAATTTAATTTATTTTTGTACTTCTTTTTTTTCACCCTGTATTAGTTTACTTCCAAAATATCCAACCAATATGGCCTTCCACAAAGAATCCATGGAAAATTTAATAAGATTAATAAGACTCGCTTATAGGAAAATTTCCCAAGATTTGCCGAAAAAGTATATATTCGGTTTATATATTCGGTGTATATTCAGCACATGAAATATACAAAGAATTTTCCAGGGTACCCAAGAAAAAAATAATATTCAGGGTATTCTATTTAAAATAAGAAAGTTGGTATTTACCCCAGAAGAACAAAATAAACACTATAAAAAATTAAAAAAGCTGTGCAACTTTTCTGTTGCACTTTTTTTCTAGCGTTCGCTGTTTCTGTGTTAGTGTAGTAGAAAATTTTATTTCAGACACCATGCGTAATATTTATAAGGAAATTTTAAGTTTCATTTTTCTTAACATCCCGGTATTTAGACATTAGAATTAATATTTCATATTAGCCATTGTCTTAGTGTTCTAGTCTCAGGACAGGATACGATAACTTTTTATTCGCAACGCCTCTTTCAGTTACAATAACCCCCGGAGTGGCGTTTTTTTCTCACTTTTTCTTTCTGACAGGGAGGTTTGGCCAGAGAACGATAGTTTCGGGAGCGATAATATGGCGCCAGAGGAGGAATTCTTAGCCTTGAGGGACGTATTCTATGCCGACTTGGGCGGTAAGTTGTCATTAGTTTTTTATTTATGTTTATAGTTTTTTCCTCTATATATTTCGTGTAGCCTAAACTTGCTATCTGCTCGACTGGCTGTTTGTTAAAGAAACTCATTCGACGTAAACGGAAAAAGAAAATTTCGGTTCTCGTTTCAATGGCTACATTTTTTTCTTAGCCCCCAATATGTATCAAAATCGAACATTAAAAGATCATTTCAAATGAATAGAACTTTAAATAATCGTTCCATTCTGATTATTAATAACTAATTTACTTTATTTTACTGCCAGAAATCCAGAACAAAAACTTTAGTCCTTTATTCTTAACTTTAGTTTTTCTTCGTCGCAAATCTATCTACTATCGTGGTACTCGACTTTCGGAATGTAGCACATTTATAGGGTGTTTTATTTAAATTAAATAAGCTTATACCTAGCCTGGAAAAATTAAACTACCTACACACGAAAAAGCCATCATATTCGTAGAAGCAACCGTAGAGCATTTTAATAAACATTTAAAATTATGTTAAAAAATATCTAAAAAGATTTTATCGAAATCAAAATTGGGGTGCTACTAGAGCAAAAATATTTTGATTTTTCGATTCAGCCAATAAAAGAAAACAATAATGAAATGAAAATATAATATATGAAAAGGGACCATACCTGACTTCTCTGAGCCGTTATTTCAAAAATTACTTTTTTTAGGCCATTTCACAGTTCGGTCGGTCATCGTACGTGAACCACGATGTTCAGAAGTATAGGGTTAGCAGTTACCTAAACAAAATTGGAGCGATATATATTTTTTCCAATGCAAGTTAAAAATAAAACAGCAATGAAAATACTTCTAGTGTGTCAATTTTTTTATTAAGCATCTTATTTTGAAAATCGAGGAAACAGGAAATCGATATTTTCTGGACGAAAGAATGTCACCAAATAAAATTTACGCATGTCTTTATGTTTTTTAAGCTAATAAGATTATTAACCGAATCACAATAATGACCGTGTTTGTAGCTTTAAAAATTTATCTGCATGTTAAAATCAAAGGGTGTCTGTGAAGGAAATACAAACACCTGATATTTAGTTCAAAATTCGCCCATCAAAATGAAACAACTGTATTTTAGTTCAAAATTATTATTATTGCGATTTGACGTTTTGTGCAATAAGAAAAGATTAAATAAGAATACATTTTCCTATTTTTGAATCTAGGGACTGCTCTATCTGAATGTTGGGAAATCGTTAGTGCTTCATTCATATCGTATGTTCAATAGCTGTATCTGGCAATTGAAATATTGTAGTATTTTTTAATCATTTTTAGATATTTCTTAACGTAGTAAATATAAAATTTTGATCATAGCAGCCATATATAAAGTTATAGCCACCGGATTGGGTTTTGGACAATGGGTACCATTATGGATTCAGATGTTTGAGTTTTAGTGTGATATGAGGGGTATTTACAAAGCGTCAAATTAGATCATGATTATAAATGTTAATAGTTCGATTTAACTTATGATTTGAAAATTTATTTCGTTGAATACATTTCCACAGCAACTTAAGTTTCACACTAGACCATGTAGAATAAATGGGGTGTCCATGAACTTCCGGTAGGTATCACTTGCTTTATCAAAATATAAAAATATTTTTTCATATTAAAACATTCTTTGGTGGATGCTTTGTCAAACCAATTTTGAACTTTTCCGGTATGTTCGGTGGGCCAAATAAAAATATTTCCCTCAAACGTTAACACACTTAGTGCATCCTCAACAGCAACAACCCGAACACCCGCGAGCAGGAACATCGTACGGTGAAGATCGCAAAAGGCACGAGGAACGCTTCTGTCGATTATCACTACTAAAGCTTAAGATTGCCCGGGAAGCGTCTTCCGAGGGATGAGAAATTTCAATATACCCACCCCTAGGGGGGAGAATTCGGTTAAATGATCACTTACTATTAAATTAAAATCGGGGATTTTAAACCATAAGTTTGTTTGGCCGTAGGGCAAGCAGGGGGACAGGATCTCGATTGCATCGTTTTCTCGACATTAAATTTCGTGTCGATGCTGGCTTAGGTATTATTACGGACATAAATATATTGTATAATAATTTTTCAAATAATTCTAATGTAAAAATTAAAGTGGTTTTGATGCTGATTAATATATGGTTATTGCTAACATGGCGGACTTGGTTCTTGGATTTGCATTGAAGCTTTTGAAGTTATACGTAAAACGTTATCAATAATCATAAATAAATTAGTAAAGTCTGGCCTTATCTGTCTTCCAAAATTTCTTTCGTACGCAGGGATCGGAGCTAGATTACAGATGCCGCTTCTCTCGAGGGCGGCAGTCTCGCGAGTCACTCAGTCGAAAAAGGAAATCGGGGCGCGGATGTTTTGTAAATTATTGGTAGTGTGAACAGTGAATCTTCTTCTTTTAGTTCCTATCTGTATCGGATGTTGGCTATCATACACTCTATTTTAACTTCGTTTTGTTAGTATTTTTGCTTGCAAAATAGATTGCAAAAAACCTGTTTCCCTTTTCTCAATATGGAGCTTTCGGACGTTCACATGTTAACTACTTCCTTCCGTCTGAGAAATTCGATATTTGTAATGTTATCTGTCCATGGTATTTTCAATATCTACGATACAACCACAACTCGCATGCTTCCAGGTTCATTATGATAGCTTCAGTAAGCGTCCAGGCTTCGACTCAGGCTTTTCTGGATTTTTTAGTGATTCTGATTACACTGTTGTATGCGTTATCGTCGTCTTTCTTTAAACATAGAAGTCTACTCGTTCGGATATATATTTGTCTAAACTTTCAGAACTCTGTAAAATGAAAATTTTAAATTATGGAGCATGAACCCATCTGAACTGCTCATATAGCATCTGTAGACACGCAAATTATAAAATTGCTTCCGTACGATGGAAAATAGCGAACGTGCAGATTCTTGTTAAGGCCATATTTAGACTTAGGCGAAATAACGCAACCCATTTAAATAAGGCAGTTAAATTTTGTTGAATAGAGAAGATATTAATATTTCTCAGTTTGAACGGGCACGATTTCTACCTAAAACAAACCATATTTTAAAGGATTTCGTTCTAGTCGTTGTTTTAGGGCGAAAATTTTGTTTGTTCGCATCACAGGTTATATTGGTTAAATACAATCAAATGACATAGATGGACATTAACATGGATTTCACTTACAAAGACTTTTGACAAGATTCATCACCCCACTGACTTAAAAAACTTGGAAACTTCGGTGTGCACGATAACTTTCTCCGTTTGTTGCAAATTTAACTAATCAATAAATCAGTTTACGGTTGTGCACGTAGAAAAGCTTAATGCCACTTTAACGTCTGGGGTACCTCAGGGATCACACTTGGGGCTTTTTCTTTTTAATATTTTTAAATTTGATAGTGGCATGTATTTTCGGCATTCTGTACCAACTTCATTCGCAGATGACTTAAAAGTAATAATCGGACAATCGGACATTTTGGAACTCCAGAAAATCGCGAAATCAATCGGATGGAGAGTGTTTAAAAGAATGTTTTTTTAAGAAACCTTAATTTTAATTATGTTAGAGACAGACACTACTATTCGTATAAAAATAACCTACAGTACTTTTTATAAAACTTCTGGATTCCTCCTGCGTCGGTTTTTGTTGAGTCGAACTAGCTTAACGTTTCCCCAATCATCCTGTTGACTTCTTCAGAGCTTGACTGAAACTGAGTCAGTCAGTGAAGCATACGAATAGTAGTTGTCTTTAGCTAGTTCTTCTTAACAAAAACCGACGCAGGAGGAACCCAGAAGTTTTATAAAAAGTATAACAGCAGCCCGTGGAAGTTTCTTTGAAAAAAAAAAACCTACAGTTTTATAAATTGAGGTCCATGTAACACGCCCAAATTGTTTAGACGTAATTTTTGTGTGTAAAAAAATCGTATTGCCAGTTTTTATTAAATGCGCACTCGGCTAACCTTCTACAGGCAGATGCAGATCTAACTACTTCTCAAACTCCCCGCTTATTAGATGTGTTTGTAGGTATAACAATTGTATTTTTTGGAACAACGCAAATCTTATTCTATTTGAGCCTAAATTTGTTTCAATTACAAAATTTTCTAACATTCTTTTAATACTGTGTATTAGACTAGAAAATTATAATCTGTCTAATTTTCTTTTGTATTTCCGGCTGTGGTATCCTGTAATTTAGCAGTGTCGTCTGCCTGTTGGTTAGCCGTTGAGTTTGTAAATAAATAAATAAATAATTATGTCATTGAGGTAATAGTAAGCCAACAGGAATTGTCGCTCGCAAAGAATATCCTATGCAACGTCAGATAAAATCTCTATCCAATAAAAATTTTGCGCTGATTTAAATATATGCTGTAATTTCTCTAAAGCACTTGAAGCGAACTTAAACACTCAGACAGTCGTAGTTCGTCACACTTGCTTTTCACTACTGTGGTACGTTTTAAGTGGTTCTCTATTATTAGCCCTATGCTTAGTCCAAATTAATCAGTAATTATGAATTTGGACACCAAACATGTAGTTTGATTGGAGACTCAAAATATTCGAGGTTAAAACGCATTCTGGTCTGATCATCTGTTGTCCCCAAAAATAATTAATTCATTAATACTTTACATGCACTATATGTATGTATTACTAATAAAATAAGTGCATATTGACGAATGGTAGTTGTCACAGTCCTGCTTCCGGTTTTTATTGGCACGATAAATTGAAGTTTGTGAAAGGTACATTTGGCGAAGAAAACGAATTAAATATTTATTGAATGCTCGCGTTCATCGTCTGTCTTCGAGATCTGCCGCATATTTAATAACATTTTATCGAATTGCGGAGAATTTATGTAGTTAACTTTCGTCGGTTCATTACATTGTAGATTTTTATTGTCGAATGCCAGAAAATAAGCGAGTATTATAAAACTATAAAGCGGTGCAATAAACATGGTTATACGAGTTATTTTCGAGACTGCAAGTTCGAAATCTGAAAGAGGTAATTAAAGTTTAT